GGGTTCAGAGCCTGCAGCTACAAAGGGCAGGCAGTGTCAAAAGCAGTCCCTGTAGTCAGAATCTAAGGCTCAAATGCAGGGAGAATCAAAGGCTACTGAAGTGCAGGGCAGAACAGCTGAGGTTGTTTCCTTGTTTGGATGTAAACACATTAATTAGAGGGCTAGCATACCCTAGGTCTTCCGGTCTTTTCATTCTACCTGCCAGGGCCCAGCTCTAGAGGTTAATTCAATAGACTCCTGGCTTGCAAGTGCTTGCAGTCAGCGCCTGTTCCATGCATGTATGAGGCTACCACACTGAGCCCCATTAATAGGCGCAGTGAATGACTACTGAGATGGTTGAGGCAGCAAAGCGCCTGCCATGCAAGCATGAAAACTTGAATTAGGAACCCTAGCACCCATGTAAAATCAAACTTGAACAGGCATGTCTATAAGCCCAACACCGGGAAGACGGAAACGGGCAGATTTCAGGCTCTTTGGCCAGCATACCTGAGCTGATGAGCTCCAGGTTCCGTGAGCGGCCGTCTCTCAAAGAGTAAGACGAGGGCTGGAAAGATGACTCAGATCACAGGCTGCCCTGGCAGAGGAGCCAGGTTCAGTTCCCACCCTTACATGGTGGCTCACAACTGTCCACCACTCCAGTTCCTGGGGATATGACACCTTCTTCTGGCCTCTGGGGAGACTGAATGCCCATGGTACACGTACATAAACAACAGGAAATGTTTCTAAATCTTTTTTTTTCCATAGAGAATTTTAATGTGAAACATTATCTAACAGCGGAGATTTGACATTCATAGCTAAAAGTTTAACATGTTCTCCAAACCCCTTAAACAAAACTATGACATACTTAAAGGTGGGGGGAGGCTTTGTTTGGGGGAAGGGTGTGTCTTTTTGCTTTTGTTTTTGTCTTTGTCTTTAAGACAGTCTTGCTATGTACTTTAGGTTGGCTTCAAACGCACAATCCTCCTGCCTCAGACTCGTGACTGCTAGGGTCACAGGTGTATAGTGCCACACCCAGTAATAGCAATACCTTGACAAGTAATGCAAACAGATTGTGGACCTCTTTTCTTAAATTAATAAAAGAAAGGAAGGAAGGAAAGAAGGAAGGAAGGAAGGAAGGAAGGAAGGAAGGAAGGAAGGAAGGAAGGAAAGGAAAGAAAGTTGAAAGGGGTTGAGAAGTCACCTGACATCAGTCTTTTGTCTACACACACATTCATACACTCCTAAGCACACACACACACACAAACATATATATTCACACACACCACACACACATACATGCACACACATCATACACATGTGCACACCTACCACACACACCCATGCACATATGCACATACACACACACAGACATACACACACACCACACACATACACAACAAGTAATCAGAGTTGATTTTTTCAAATGTTTAAAGGAAAGGAGGGAAAAAGCCAAATGATTGCAGTCTGTTCTCTGCCTCACAGCTCTTCTTCTGGGGCTTTCTGGCTAGTTGACACAAACAGGATTCCTCCTCGGGACAGAGACAGATCGAATGTGACCTTGCAGATCCTTTACAGGGTCATCACAGTCAGGGAAGCAGCTGCTGGAGTGCTGGACCATTAGGGCCCCAGACCACCTCACAGCTTAGCTCCCTGGGAAGCAGTAATGAATTAACAGGTCATCTTGGTAATTCCTAGGGCTAAGCCTTTGCAACTACAAATAAATACGTAGAGTAAAAGGAATGCAGAAAAGAAAAAAACACAGGCAGAGAGAAAAGGGACACGAGAAACCTGACTTGGTTTCACTGAGACACAATTAGTTTGAAAATGCCCTTGTGTAGTGATTTCATTAAGACTCAGGAGAATTCTTTCAAACTCATGGTCTTGGTCAGCTTCTTGGCCAGATGGCCAGTGGTTCTGGGAGGTGCGGTGGGGAGATAGAGTGCTTTTTGTGTGCTCCTGTCAAGCAGGAACAGAGAGCCTGAAGGTCAGGCCGGCCAAGCACTTTTCCTTGAGGAGGGAACACACAGTTGGCATGGAACAGGTCTTAGCCAGGGCAAAGGTGAAGCTAGCTCTGAAGAAGGCGTCAGCCATCTTTCCTAAATTACCACGTGGATCACTAGATGCTCTGGACACGTCTCACCAGACGCGAAGCTCTGGTCCTACTTAAATGTCATTGGTGGATCCATGTGAGTTGGTACCGTCGGGAATGCTGGGATGGGCAGGTTGTATTTTATTGGCTTTTTCCTCCCGTGGTTTTCACCATCTGTTTCTTTAACTGCATAAACAAGGAAAAATGACTGGTTTGGAATGCAAAGTTTTAAACACCAGATGACCACAGGCATCCTCTAAATGAGAAAGAGAGAGCAAGTTGGGGTTCTGTGACATTTGTCAGGAAGTGGAATGGTAAATACCAAGAAGCCTGTATGTATCGTGCCAGGGAAGGGCCATAAAGGCAAGGGGTGGCTTGGTCCCCATCCCTGTTACAGGGTCATGGCCTGCCTGCTTTCCCCAACACCTCACTCAGACACCAGCACTGCCTCCCCTTCCCCCGCCCTCCAAGATGAAGAGGGATGCAGGACTTCAGCTTAATGGGCATTAGTTCAAGAGCATCCCTAAGTTGGCAGCTTTGCACGGTACCCATAGAAGCTTCCACACTCCAAAAAAGCTGGCTTGTGGGCAGCTTCTCTGACAAAGCTAAGTGGAGAGCTATAAACAGAATGTCTACAAGATCTTCATATCTTTCCTGCACAATGGTAAGTGGGAAAAAAAAAAAACATGCAATGGCATTAAAGCACTTCAGCACACAGCCTCCTGCTTTATGAAGGAATATTTGCTGTGCACAATACAATGGCTGCTTCATAAAATGGTTCCGTCACTCCATGCCAACAAACTTAAAGCGCCGAGTTCCTTTTCTAAACCCAAAACAATGGAGAAACTGGATGGGAATGTTCCCTGCATACTAATCCCTTTTACCTTCAGTGTAAGAAGTAATCAGTTGTAAGCATCAGGCATTCTAAACAAAATTGAACAGGGAAGTTTGGAGCCCCTGGGGTACAAACACTGGCTCACTTGGCTGTGTTCCACTCGGTTCAGCTTGAGACGGACGTGGAACATTTTTCACATAGTTTTGTAGGCAGCCTGACGCCGGAGTTTTCACGTTAAAGGGTGAAAGATGAGGGCCTCCCGGGAACAGAGAGATCCTCCTAATTTTCGGTGTCGCTTCGCATAGACACGGTGGACAGTTTTTGACATGGACACTATTAATGGTGTGGGACTTGGGGGGGGGGGGGTGAGGCGTCAGGCAAAAATAAGACTGAGGCAATTTTCAGGCCCTAAGAAGATGAAGTGAATTTGGTTGAAACAGTGTCTCTACCCTGCTGGCAAGCATCAATCAGTACACAGCTGTGAACACTGGGTAAAGTGCTTGCTGTGTGAATGTGAGGACCTGAGTTCCCCAACACACATGGAAAAGCACGTGCCTGTAACCCCAGTGCTGCCACAGGCAGGGGACGGGAAAATCCTAAAGCTTAACAGGCCAGCTAGTCTAACTAAGTGTTGCGCTGTAGGTCAGTGAGGGGACCAGGTCTCAATAAAGTGAAGAGAAATAGAGAAAGATACATGACGTTGGTCGACTGCTGCCCTCCACATGCGCATATGCGGAGAGTGCATCCACATAGACGGACACAGAGAAAAGAGGAAGAAGGGATGAAGGGAGTGGGAGGGAGGAGGGGGACGGAGGGCATAAGCAGGCTGCCCCACTCAAAGATTCAGTCTGCTAAATTCAGACTGCCACAGTCCACGGTGACTGTATTTGATGTCTGACACCCACTGGACATGGGTGCCATTGGGGGTCTTTGCGTCACTGGTAGAAATGGGAAAATGATAAGAGATTAACAGGATACTTCAAGGTTGAGAGCCCTGAGGGCTTCCTCACAGGCACACGCCGTTCACCCTCTTTGGCACTGGTTCCACATCAGAAAAGACGACCAGCTGTAAGTCAAAATTCTCTAGCAAATAACTGTACCTGCAGTGAATGTGTGTCGACTTGGGCCTCCCTAAACCATACTGGATGCCATCCGTTGACTTGGTGTCTGTAAAGCACTGTAGACCATACAGTAATTTGGAGAGCGTTTTAAGTGTGCCAGATGATGTATGGAGGTTACATGCGAAACCCCTCACCCCGTGGTGGGCTTGTGCATCCAAGGATGTTGGAACATCTCCTGTAGACACGGGGGGAATGGGGTTGTGTTTCTCTTGTTTCATACATTAGAGAGAACGCCCCCAGGCAGTTTGCAGAACTGGACTGTTGCAGTGGATTGTGAAAGGACTAGGGTAACCCATGGAATTTCAGCTATAATCACAATAATAATTTCAAATGAAGAGGCATACTTCGGAAGGTATGAGAGGAATTTTAAGTGGCCAAACTATTTGTATTCACCAAAGCTTTGGAGCCTTGTAAAAACTGTAGTGTTATGCTTCGGCCACTCCAAAAGGATTGGCTAACACTTTCACAAGTTATTTTTATTTTATATGTATGTGTATGAATGTTTTGCTTGCATGTGTACACACACATGTGTACACACCACACATGTGCCTTGTAACATTGAAGGCCAGAAAAGGGAATCAGTGACCTTGGGATCAGAGATATAGATGGTTGTGAACCACCATGTGGATGCAAGGAACCAATCCTAGCACCTCTGTAAGAGCAGCAAGTGTCTTTAACTGCTGAGCCTTCTCTCCAGTCTGACTTTCTTAATTTAAACAAATCTCCTTGGAGATAGGGACTTGAGACTCTATTGATGAACTTTTTTCAGACACTTCCTTTATACTCTAACCTTGTATCTTCATGTGTCTTCATCTCTCTCTCTCCCTCTTATCCTTTTTTTTTCTTCCCTTCCTTTTCTCTCCCTTCTTTCCTTTCTCTGGGGTATTTATCAGGTCTGTGTGCCTGACTACAGGATAATAGGTATGCTGAGGACTTGGGGCTGTCATTTGATGTCTCTGTGTATTCTCACCCACAGGTGATCACCCCAGTGAGGACAGGCCACGGCTACGTGTACGAGTACCCATCCCGACACCAAAAGGATGTCTACGATGTTCCTCCTTCCCACACCACTCAAGGGGTAGGTAATGGGCACATCACCAGGGGATCTGGCTTTGGGGGCAGCATCTCTTCAGGACCACGCAGGAAAAGAGGGACACCAGCCACAACCTCACAATATGGAGCCCTAAGCTGCCTGTCCTGGGACCATTTTAGTCAGTGTTACTTAAATTGGGTTTTCTAGGTTTGCTTTATCAGAAAGTTTAGTCTTTTATCTGAGAAATCTCTTGTTTGCTTTATCAGTTTGTCATTTTATTTATGAAAATGTGCAATTTTAATGATCTAGATTTGAGTTAATAGTTCACGTAAGATCATTTTCATATTTAACCTAAATCAAAGAATGCAAAATTTATAAAGAAAAATTCCATAAACCCCTGATGGCATAGAATGCTGCTAAAGTCCAAGTCTGTATGTGACTTAATAAATAAATTCATGAGGAAACAAAAGCAAGAGAAGTGAGCAGGGAATGACATTTCCATTCTGGGTAACTCAAGTATTTTTCTTCAGGTTTATGACATCCCTCCTTCATCAGTGAAAGGCCCTGTGTTTTCAGTTCCAGTGGGAGAGATCAAACCTCAAGGGGTGTATGACATTCCCCCTACCCAAGGGGTAAGTGAACTGGAAAAGCACAGTGTTTGGATGAGTATCTGTGTGTGTGTGGTAGGGGTTTTATGTATATTTGTTCTTTGGGATAAAAAAATGACATACTGTCTTCATGAGGGAGGGAGAGAAAGGAGAGAGAGAGAAAAGGGTGTAGGAAGCAAGAGACAAGAAAGCAATTAAAATTACAAATTTAAAGGGGCCCCTAAAATACAGAGACATCAGTAATGACAGTCAAGTGAAAGGGGAGGTAATGAGTTCAGTTTGGCAATATCTAACACATCACGTATTTTTAGACCCTACAGCTTTCTTGGTCCATACATAAGAGGTAGCTCATTCGATTTTCTGTTATCTTCCGGTCACAGCTCCACTTCAGGTACACTTAACTTTGCTATAGGGAACTGTGCCTGTGAATACGGGGGAGACTCAGGCAGTTTCACACATGTGCTCTGATGACAAAGAACAGAACTCAGGTCCCTCAACCCGGTGCATCATATCTTGTGTCTCTCTGCATGGATAAACATGGGTAGGATAGTCAGTGAATGCACATGAGACCGCAGCCCAGTGGTGAACAACTTAGCTAGGAGAATGCTAGACCCAAGCTAGCACTGAGAATGGTAAAGGACGGTCATGTGGAAGGATGAGGGCGCACAGCCTCTAACGAGCATGCTGTAGCCTGGGAAGCATCTGAGGTTAGTAAACGATAGGAGGAACAAGTCTGTGAACTCTGGACCACACTTCACGGATTATTCATTTTCTGCCTCCATCCAAGCTCTAACTAAACAATTAAATTGACCCCTTTTTATTTCCTTACTCTTTAGGTCTATTCCATTCCACCGTCGGCTTGCCGAGATGAGGCAGGGCTTAGGGAAAAGGAATATGATTTCCCTCCTCCTATGAAGCAGGATGGAAGGCCAGACACCAGACCTGAAGGGGTATATGACATCCCTCCAACCAGCACCAAGACGGCAGGGAAGGACCTTCACATCAAGTTCACCTGCGATGCTCCAGGAGCTGCAGAACCGATGACACGAAGACACCAGAGCCTTTCCCTGCCCCACCCACCCTCCCAGCTAGGACAGTCTGAGGGCACTCAGAGTGACGCGTATGATGTGCCCCGGGGAGTGCAGTTCCTGGAGGCACCGACAGAAACCAGTGAAAAGGCGAATCTGGAGGAAAGAGATGGTGTTTATGATATCCCTTTACACAACCCAACAGATGCCAAAGGAGCTCGGGACGTGGTAGACGGGATCAACCGACTGTCTTTCTCCAGCACTGGCAGTACCAGGAGTAACATGTCCACATCTTCCACCTCCTCAAAGGAGTCCTCCTTGTCAGCCTCCCCATCTCAGGACAAAAGGCTCCTGCTGGACCCAGACACGGCCATTGAGAAGCTCTATCAGCTCCAGCAGACCCTGGAGATGGGTGTCTGTGGTCTCATGTCACTGGCCACCACAGACTGGCGGTGTTACGGATACATGGAAAGACACATCAACGAGATCCGCACAGCAGTGGACAAGGTGGAGCTGTTTTTGCGGGAATACCTCCATTTTGCCAAGGGAGCTTTAGCCAATGCCTCCTGCCTCCCAGAACTCGTCCTCCACAACAAAATGAAGCGCGAACTCCAAAGGGTAGAGGATTCCCACCAGATTCTAAGCCAGACCAGCCACGATTTGAATGAATGCAGCTGGTCCCTGAATATCCTAGCTATCAATAAGCCCCAAAATAAGTGTGATGATCTGGACCGATTTGTGATGGTAGCCAAGACAGTGCCAGATGATGCCAAGCAACTGACCACTACCATCAGCACCTTTGCAGAGACCCTCTTTAGAGCAGGTCCTGGCAGTTCCCATCTGAAGAATGGGCCTGACAGCATCATGAACTCAATCGAGTATACGCATACGGGCTCCCCGATACAGCCGCTGCGTCCTGGTGACTACAAGGCCCAGGTCCACAGTAAGCCATTGCCTCCTGCTCTAGGCAAGGACCAGCCGCCAGACTGTAGTAGCAGTGATGGTTCTGAGAGGAGCTGGATGGATGACTATGATTATGTTCATCTACAGGTAAGGATACCGATAAGGGTCCCCACATCCACATTTCGAGGATCCTAGGACTGATGTCCATGGGGCTGTTAGGCTGGACAGCCAAAGGACAGAGCATGATGTTATGAAAACTGACGGTGAGATTGTACAAAAATTGTATAGCCACTTTATTTGACCTCCGTGGGCCTTAATTTTATTTTAGAAAGTATTAGCTCAAAGGGTTGTATTCAGTCTCATTGATACACCCCAGGAAAACTGGAGGACACTCATCAATGTGGACTGGTGGGGTCCGTGAGTCATGCTATCAGTTTTTCCTCTGTTTGTGTTTCATAGCATAGTTCCATTGAACAGCCCATTGTGACGGAAATAAATTTAAAAAGATATCACTGTTAAGGAAAAAAACCTGTTGAAACTATCTGTACGTAGAGAGTTTCTAAGGTACCCCTAGGCCAGTGATTATCAACTTGTGGGGGCATGACCTCCTGGAGCGGTCAAATGACCCTTTCACAGGGGTCACCTGAGAGCATCAGAAAACACAGCTATTTGTACATTATGACTCATAATGGTAGAACAAAATGCAGTTATGGAGTAGTAATTTTGTGGTTGAGGGTCACCACAACGTGAGGAACTGTTCTAAAGGTCTGCAGCATTAGGAAGGTTAAGAACCACTTCTCTAGGCTGAGAGAAAGAGAGAGGGAGGGAAGGAGAGAGAGAGACATAGACAATAGCTCCATCAGATCCGGAGGCCCTGTGGTCGTTGCCCATTGGCCAACAGCCTGACCTGCATATGTTAAACTCTGCAAGCTGCTTTCTCTAAGTGTAAATTGTGCTAGCTCCCAAATTCAGCTGGGATCCTGAAAGCTCCCTGGCCTGCTTTGAAGAATTCCAGCACCTACCATAATCTGTGATTTAGCATTTGGCTTAGTGTCTTATTCTCCCAATCGTTTCCATTTGCCTGGGAGCCACGGCTTGTACTGGAAACTGTTAAGGTACTGAAAGCCCCTGGTGCAAGAGAAGGGAAAGGAGAAAGGATCAACTGAGCCACAGCTTATGCTGAGGAGTGGCCTGGGTTAGATGAAGGTATTTAACCTTCATCTCACTGGTCTCCTCATATTGTAAACTGGAAAACACTAAGGAGAGGTATTCAAAGAAATTGGAAGTGTAATATGCACCCATTTTTTTCCACCCTTTGTTTGAAAGCTCATATATACTCCATTAAAAAAAAAACATGAAAAATAATGCTTCATAAGAGGGTGTGAAGAAGGTCTTGGGAAGCTCTCCAGCTAGAAAGAGCAGCAACCCTGTCAGCCCTCGTGAAAACAGGCTTTACTTTTCAGCCTGTCTCCACAGTGATTCCGGAAGTCCTTCTCTGTGGTTCACAGTGTCTAATGGGACATGAGGGAAGTGGATGAATTGCTGAGTGCACTTGTCAGTGAAGCTGTTCACATAAGTGACTCACCGCAATGAGGTAATCTGGTCTTTGTGTTGAAAACAACAGGGCAAGGAGGAGTTTGAGAGACAGCAGAAGGAGCTCCTGGAGAAAGAGAATATCATCAAGCAGAGCAAGGCACAGCTGGAACATCATCAGGTAAGTTCAGACAGAACAAAGGCTCTTCGGTGGTGGAAGGGGCTCCGCTTAGTAGGGAACGGAAAAGATCGGGGTCCTGCCAGCACACTGGCAGGAAGAAGACCCACGAATATAACAGTATGTAAGAACCAAGTAAGGGTGTGTGGCCTGCGACCACAGCTTTTAGTATGCCAGGCTGCGCCTGTTACCGTATCACACCTTAGGACTGTTTGAGTTAAACCCTTTGGCCTCAAGACACAAGAGCCTGTCAGGCTGGCCCAAGCTAATTGGTTTTCTTCTGAGGCCATGGTGAGAGAATTCCAGGGAATGAAGATGCAGCCAAGACTGACAGCAATAAGGCCCATCTCCTCTCCTTGTTTTCCCAATAGCTGCTTCATTCTCCTCTACTACCCAATCATTTTTCTAGTCACCTCCTCACTCAGTTCCCATCTAACTTCATAAGACTCATAAATGGCCACTCAAAGCATTGTGTAATGCTTTGAAATAGGTTCTCACTATGTAGCCCAGGCTGTTTTCAAACTTGGTATTCTCCTGCCTCAGTCTCTTGAGTGCTGGGGCTGCAGGTGTGTGCCATTATGCCCAGCTCCAAAGCTTTCTCTGTATATGGCATTTCATCTGTGATTCATTAGATAATCCTTAGATAATTCCTTAGATTCCCTTCTGTGGTTATCAAATTCCCAAGAGAGTTTGATTAAAACTCTCTCCTCAACCCCATCCTTCTACCTGTCTTTTGTATGGTCCAGTCTATGGGCCAAAGGGAAAGATCCAATGTTTGTGAGCCCTGTCCAAGTCTATTTACCAAGGGCTCTGAGGGGACAGTCACTCAGAGGTTTAGTGAGCAGATCAGATAAGGATAGATATTGCTAAAGCAAAGACATGAAAACAAAGAGAAATGAACTAAATATTTAAGATGACATGAAATAGCACACCACAAGAGATCTCTAGGAAACCTGAGTTCAAACCCTTCCTTTCTAGCCAACAGGTTATGGGCCAAAACTTCAGTTCCTTCTCTATAAAATGGGAAAGTACTACTCTCTATAAACACATGAATTGAAATCAAATTCATTATTATCATATAATATTGGAATTGGAACACCACTGTATATCTACTATGCTTATATTGGCAGTTGGCCCAGTAAGACAGCAGAGTTTGAGGGAACTAGCAGAAGCTAAAGTAATTCCTAAGAAGTAAGTAGTTCTATAGAATACAGAATTGACTATGCACTTCTCAGCAGGAAAGCAGGATGAGGTTGTCCCTGGACTGACTCAGCTCTGAACCAGGGTGGGAGATTAACTGAGTCCCAAACTCAGGGTTCTTAGTAAAATAGCTAAAAGTCATCATTTCAATTTGAAATAACAGTCCAGTTAGGAATGCTAATGAGAGAATCAAGAAAGCTGGTTCTCAGGCCTTTGAGATGATTCCGTGTAAGGGCACTTGCTGCCAAGCCAGTGACCTGAGTTTGGTCCATAAAAACTACACAATAGAAGAGAAATGACCTGCATGAATTGTCCTCTGACCTACACGTTAAACTATAATAAACAATTAATGCCCAGGTTTCTTTGTTGTGTCCTTTTCTAAGACTTCCCTATAGTAAAGGATAATAACATGTACATCTTGACAGAAAGAATAGGACAGAGATGTAGCTGACATTTGCTACTTTGTGGGTTCTTCTTCCTTCCACCCTTCTCCACCCCCTTCTTTCCTTTCAAGCCTCTAACACTAGATAGAAGAGAAAAAAGGATAGAGGGGAAAGGGGGTGTCATTATCATTAGACTACTTCCTACTGATTAGGGGCCTTGAGCTCCTTGGGACAAGTTTGACCTTCACTGTCAGAATATCTCATTTCTTCTTCTTTGGGCATTGCTACTTAACACCGCCACCAACAGCAACCAGTAACATCAACCACCAACCAGCAATACCTATTAGGGCTCTAACATTTATATATACTCTGAACAGTCCCCAGAATCCAAACATAACGCATTCACAGAAACTATCTGCAGCTGGCAAAACCACACCCTTACCAGAGCATGAGGCAAATCATGGTCAGCTGCTGAGAAGCAGCCCCATATTTCCACACCTGGGATTAAAACTGAAACATATTCTTATAATGTTGCTGTATATTTTTTTAAGAAACCAAAATTATAAAATTCTCACTGTAGAGAGAGTCTTCATGAAATTTCCATCTTGAAGAGAGAGGTGAGGCCTTGCCCAGGAAGTAACAAATTCTTGGTGATCTATTTGACAGATATGTCACTATATCTGATTTTTTCCCTTGTTGCATCTCAACATTTCAAAACCTTTACATAGAGCTTGCAATTCACCAAACAGTATTTCAAGCACTTTCTGAAAAATACTAATATTCACTTTGTGAATAACAGTATTTTATTGCACCATCATAATGGCATAGAAGACGAGGCTGTTGCCTTTCAGTCAATGCAAAAAAGACAAATGGTGTGATAGCAGAAGGTCTAGACTGGAGGATCCCTTGGGAATCATCTTCCCAGTGTTCATGTTGTACATTTTAGGAAGCAAGGCAACCTGGCCAAGGTCTCATAGCTCCTAAGTACCTGATATCTATTAGGATGAAACTGCTATATTTTGACTCCACCCCCACATTTCTTTCCCTTTACAGTGCATGTCTTGCCCTTAATGAAAGCTCTTATCTTCCTTCCAGCTAAGTCAGTTCCAACTGTTGGAACAAGAAATCACCAAGCCTGTGGAGAATGACATCTCCAAATGGAAGCCCTCTCAAAGCCTCCCAACCACGAACAACAGTGTTGGCGCTCAGGATAGGCAGTTGCTTTGCTTCTACTATGACCAATGTGAGACCCATTTCATATCCCTCCTCAACGCCATTGATGCCCTCTTCAGCTGTGTCAGCTCAGCTCAGCCCCCACGGATCTTTGTGGCACACAGCAAGTTTGTCATTCTCAGTGCACACAAACTGGTATTCATTGGAGACACTCTGACAAGGCAGGTGGCTGCCCAGGACATTCGAAATAAAGTCAGGAACTCCAGCAACCAACTCTGCGAACAGCTCAAGACGATAGTGATGGCAACCAAGATGGCCGCCCTCCACTACCCCAGCACTACTGCCTTACAGGAGATGGTGCATCAGGTAACAGACCTGTCCAGAAATGCTCAGCTCTTCAAGCGTTCCCTGCTGGAGATGGCCACCTTCTGAGAAGAAAAGGAGGTGGAAGGGACTGAGTGCATAATTGCTAAGGAAAACTGGAAATACTATCTGGTTTTTGTAAATGTTATCTATTTTTGTAGATGTTTTATATGACAATGAAATATTTTAATGTTTTGTGAGTTAGTTGATTTTCATCAATTCAGGGAGCTGAAGTGGGAAATCTTCTTTTTCCCCTGTGTGGTTCTTATATAAACATTTAAGTCTCTAAAACCTAAGCTGTAAAGAAATGTGTCCATGTTGGTGTATGTCTCTGCAGCCGTGTTTGTTTGCAGATGTGTGTCTGATACATTCCATTAAAAACATGAATTAAGAAGCACCTTAGTAAGCGCCTTCTAATGCTGTGTTGTCTGGGTTTTGTGAAAAATTATACTGCTTTGTTGTAATATTGCTCTGCATGTGTTAGTAGTGATCTGGGCCCTGCACCCCCAAATCTGGAACTCATGATGTATTCCCCAAGTCTTCACCTTCCACATAGCAAGTCATGGCATGGCTTATTCTTGTTGGAAACTTCTTCCAAACTTGACTGTCCTTAACACAGTGGTAAACAGACCCCACTTCTGTTTGAAAAGGGAGAGAGTTTTGAAAAGTATGCCTTAACCTAAGGTCCAGTGTTTCAGGTGATAGAGAGGCGAGGGACATGTGCTAAGAGGCCATGTCTACAGCAGTGACTGTGACGCTTCAGCTCTGAAAGGAAACAGCAGCAAGGAGAGAACACAGCTTTCCCGGGGCTGAACTTGTGAGGGATTCAGCCATGAGCTTTTCCAAAGGATATTTTCAAAGTTGAATTAAAAAATAATTTGCAACAAGAATTCATGAAGATACATCAAAAGTTTGATTGTGGACAAAAAGAAGGGGTGTTTCCAACTGTCAGTGGTTCAAGAAAGTCCTCTGTGCCCTGATTATCTAAAGGAAATGGCCAGCTCCCCAGTCACTGAGCTGTGGAGCCACCAGGCCCTGTCCTGCTCCCTCACTGCTTGGTGTATCCTACACCCTTCTAAAAACTTACATATGCAGACATCCTCACAACAGCGGCAGGGATCTGAGCTTCACATTTCCCTGTAGCCATGGACCTTGTGCATAAGCCGCACCACCATGCGACAGCTACTCACGGTGTCGATCCCATGGTCTGTCCCTTCACACCTGCTGTGTGGATACAGCAATGACACAGGAGCCACCAGACTGATCATGGGCAGATAAACTGCTTCCCTGTTCCTTCATGACCAAGTCCAGAAGTATGTTTCTTGTGGTCTGCATCCGTGGAAATATTTCATTGCAGCCTATTTGCAAATGTGTTTTTATTCGTGGTGGATGTCTTGACTGAGTTAATGTTGTTTGTTTTAAACAACCAAATTACAAAAGCAGGGAGGGGCTTAAGAACATGTACTCTCAATGCGACTCTTTTTTTTTTTTTAATCAGTTGGAAGTTATCAAAGAGAAGGTGCTTTTCAAAACAAACTACAACCATAATTCTCGAAGATGAACAGTTGAGCTGTTGGATGGCAGTTCTGTGTGTCAGGATGGGGGTCCTGCAGCGTCAGTACCACTGGAAGAAGTCACGAAGGGTGTACTTGTCGATCTTCCTATACAGTGTGTATCTGCTGGATGATGGCTGCTTTGTCCTAACCTGAGTGATGACATTCCACATTGTCAAAACCAAACTGTTCACTTTGTATTGCTCATTGCCATCTTGTATATACAAGCCATTAAATTTTTAGATCTTTTTCTTCATAGCCACTGGATTTCTTTTCCTTGTGTCTGTCTTTATCACAGATTTAAATATTGGCTTATCTGAGTATAGAAAGTCAAATTATTATTTATTTATATATACTATAGATAAGATTGTTTTTAAGAAAAAGTGTGTGTTACTCCAGTACCTTTGAATTGAAGAAAATTCTAGAATATGTGGATATCATCAAATTAAATATCAGAAACTGTTTTTTTTTAGTATCAAATGCCTACACATTTAATATATATGTCTGTATGTATGTATATGGAGAGAGAGAGAGAAAAAGGAATCCACTGTGTAGTCATAGCTGGCCTGGAGCTCTCTCTGTAGACCAGGCTGGCTTTGAAGCCATAGAGATTGGCCTGTCTCCGCCTCCAGAGTGCTTGTATTAAAGGTGTGCACCACCACATCTGGCTACAGCACCCACACATTTAATGTGGGTAGGATGATTTCTGTTTCTACTCCGTGGCTATGACTACTCAAGACGTTTTAGAATCAATAGACATGGTTTTATTCATTCTGCAGTTGGCATAAAGAAATGATTCAAAGCAAATTATGTTAAGAGACAGAGGTCCCTAGCCATGTGGATTACTACTTTTAATGTCCCACCCTTTTATTCAGATAATGCGCTGAGATGTTGAAAGCATTTGAATACACCTGTGTATTAATTACTTTTTTTGTGATTGCCATAAAATATGTTACAAAAAAACCATGGAGGAGAGGTTTCCTTTGACTTGCAGTTTAGAGGGTGCAGTCAGTGTGTCCATCCTGGAGGGTCTGGATGTTGGTTTGGTTCCTGGCAGTAGGAGCTTGCAGCCTGGCTTGCTAACATCTTGTTGGATCGAGAAGCAGATTGAGGGCTACGGGTGGGGCTAGTTTAATACTCACAAGGCCCACATCCTCCCTAGGACCTGTCTGGAGTATCCACACCCTACCAAAATAGTGCCGGTAGCTGAGGAGCCAGTGTTCAAACAAATGCACCTGTGGGTGAAATTTCAAAATCAAACCATCACACCTGTATCATTTTGTCTCTCCGTAAGAGCAGGAAATGATTTTTTTTTTTTTTTGACAAAAATAAGATACCCATTAGGGGAAGGTGGAATGTCTTTTGAGGGGGAAACAGTACTAAATTGACAAAAATCTCTCTATGGAGAAAAAACAACCCTTACCTTATATCCTGAACAAAAATCAACTAACATGGAACAAAGACTTAAAACTCTCAAACTCCTAGGTAAGATGTAAGAAAAAAAAAATCTTATGACATTAAGCAAGTTAGTTTTCTAAGTGGTTAAAAAAACAATTCACAAACATAATTGCACATCATCAAACAAAAATGTTTATGCCTAAGACCGGAGCATCTACCCACACAATGGAGTGGGACTTGTCTTTTGGGGTTATCGGAGAAGAGAAAATCATAATTGGGAAAATGCCTCCCTAATATTGGCCTTGCAGGCAATACTACAGGCCATTTTCTTACATAGTGATTGATGTGGAAAGGCCTAGAGAACATTGTAGGTAGTACCACTCCTAGGCAAGTGGTTCTGGGGTGTGTAAGAAAACTGGCTGAGCAAACTATGATGAGAAAGACAGTAGGCATCACCCCTCCATGGCTTCTGCTTCAGTTCCTGCCTCCAGGTTCCTGCCCTGACTTCCATTCATGATGTATTACAACTATAAGCTTAAAAGAAGCCCTCTCCTCACCAAGTTGGTTTTGGTCATGGCGTTTTGTCATAGCAAAAGAAGCCCTCACTAAGGCAAATGCCTACCTATAAAAAAAAGAAGAAGAAAGACAGCTAAAATAAAAACCCAACACTGGACAAATTTCAAAATCACTATGATGAAAAAAGACGACCAAAATGCAAATGGTATGGTTCCACTTATTCAAGACTTTAGAAAGATCTGGCCATGTTGTATTCCATACCTGTAATACCAATACATAGGACGTGAACACAGGACACAGGAGTTTTAGGCCAGCCTAGCCATGGAATCAGATTTGATTTAAAAAAAAAAATACAAACTGATGTATAATGACAGAATATCAGTAGCTGCTTGGAGAAAGAAGGGGTAGGATGCTGTTAATTTCTAAGGAGGCAAATGATGGAAAACATCCATTTTCTAGATGTTCTGGATGGCTTCACATGTGTATTCAGTCCCATCAAATAACACGCTACTGTATATACAGTTCAGCCTTCATCAACAATCTCTTTTCAAGTAACTAATCCAGATACTTCCATTAAAAATGAGAGTCGGAGTGTAGCTCTCCACAGTTGATGGCTTCTGGCAGGGGGTACAGGTGAAGAGGACCCAGTTTTCTGTAGGGGGAGGGCCACTGGGAGTTTGACCACATTCCAGTAAGTACATGGACAACACCAATTGGACTTGCTGGTTTTTTGCTGTTTTTCAAGGTGGGAGGGGTAGTCACAAGGATGGGGAGCAAACATGGAAGGACTGGGATGTGAGGTTGTATGATGGGAAATTCCCAAAGAATCAATAAAAATATTTTCTTAAAAAAAAAAATGAAAGCATCTTAGACTAGACTTTTTTTAAGCAAGGCTATTCAAAAGACATTCCACTTAAGTGAAAATACACAGAGAACAGCAAAGGAATGGGAAGAAATATGCAACACACATTCTAGTCATAACTGAGAAAAAGCTATGGCAGCTGTGTTATAACAAGGTAGAATTCAGCACGGAGCAAGGAGACACATGTCATGATGTAAGAATCAATGTTACAAAAATGTTAAAGCATTCTTAAATATCCACATGCCCAATCACAAAGCCTCAAAACACTTGAAACAAAAACTAACAGAACTAAGTGCAAAAGTGAAACTCTTTGGTTCTTTCTCTCTCAGTTACAAATAAACAAAATATCAGTAATAAATGGTAATAATAGAACTCTGGCATACTGCTAAGGGAACTACAAAATGACATAAACTGCTACAGAAAATGTCTGACATATAACCTAGCTATTCCAACTGTAAATACTTACTCAAGAAAACCTAAAACA